CTATATATGCATGTTGTTATTTGTATACGTGCTACTGTTTGTGTGTTGGTACTTTAGGGAAACTCACTAAGCTTTGTGCTTATGGTTTCAGTTTATTGTTTTAGGTGCTTCAAATACATTGGCAAGGAGAAGGCATGACCGTACACATCCTCGCATTTTGGACTTATGATTTATGGGATACTCTGATAACATTATAGTCTTAAATACTATGCGTAAATGATTTCGATTTTAAATAAAGGTTTTGGTAATAACGGTTTTGTAAACACTTCTATATAAAAAGGATTGTTCTGAAAAATTTAAATTTTACTGAAATTTTATGGATGTTACACCTCGATATGAGTCTGACATGCCCTACCTGGACCTCAGCTCATATCTGGAATGCTCATGGGTTTGTTGGCTACTTCACAAAGCAGTACTACCTCAATCATCCACACAATATGTCGACATCTAGCAGATAATATCATAAACATATAAACATGTAATTCACAGGTAGTCCTATAGATCTACCAAACTAGCATAACAAGAGTAGCATGCATAACTATATCATATTCAGCATATCAACGATATCAGGTTGTCAAACCAATGGGCTGACCTTGATGCCTTCGACCCGAAAGTATAATGAGGAAGACTCACCTCGCAATGCCGAATCATACTGAAAACCTCTGATTGTTGCTTCAGAAATAACCCGAACTATCACAACAAAACAAACATCCACTTAACAATTGGATTACCATCCTTGACTGATGATCCATACTTAGGGTAAATATCAATTTTACCTTTTTCTTAACTGGGCCAAGGCCTATGTCTAAATCTTTGATCCAAAAAGGACCAAATTACCTAAAGGTCCATAATTGGCCCAATTTTCCAAATTCGGCCCAATCCCCTTATTGGGCCTTATGCTAAGGTCCAATTCTCCAGTTAGTCTAGAACACACTACTCAGATAGCCCATTGGGGTCCAAGAATCAAAGCCCAAACCCGAAGCCCAAGGTCCGTAACCCAAACAGAGGCATACGTAGGGCGTACTTCTCATCGTATTGACCACCATCGAGGTGGTTGACTCATTACGTGGGGCATACATCAACTTACACGGGGCGTAACCTCACTTGCCTTAAAATCCTTATAAGTGCTTAATGGATTAAGCACCTAAGTCAAACTCCAAATCCATGACTCAAAATTACTTCCAAATAATGAATTCTCAAACTTTAACACTTTTAACGCCCAAAAAGGGCTTAATACATGGTCTTAATCCATTAACACCTCCTATTAGCAACATGAAGCCAAACCAACCAAAGGGACCTCAGTTTTATAACTTAGAACCCTTCCTAGGGTCTGAATGGACAATTCAAAGCATTTAAAACAAAGCATGCATAACAATGGGACTTTTAGGACAAGAAGAACACCAAAAAGTTACCAAAACAAGATCTAAACAATCCAAGCATAAAGGTAGAAGTTTTATACCTCTTAAAACTCCCAAAGAAGATGATAATCCCAGATCTACAAGCATGCTTCCTTCCTTGACTCCTTTGATGCACTACCTTCTCCTTCAACCATACAAGAAACATACACTTAACTTATACACACACACACACACTAGAGGAGTTAGGGTTTGCCAAAAACGACATATCACATGTACGCAAAGCGTACAACTCATGCTCCAAAATTACCATTTTGCCACTAGGGCTTCTCATGGCCACTCCTTTCCAATCCAAGGACTAAAAATGACATAACTCCAACCTTATTGATGAATTTAACATTACTTGAAAATTGGGGTGTTACATATTTCTTAGGGCTAGTGAATATGTAGTGTCACTTTTCATATTCTCATTCAATTTATCAAATGTTATTTTTTAGTTATTTTGAATTAATTCTTTTCAATATGTCGTTTTATGAGTTTTTTTATTTTATTAAACTCCACATAATATTTTAATGTAATGATTGCAATAAATATAATAATAAATGGATATCAATTGTACTAATGAACTTATATTTTAATTTCAAAATTTCTAAAACTAAAGCTTACTAATTTTTTTTCTATTTATTTAAATTTAAAAGATAAAAAAAATATTTTCATTATAATAATTCATTATTATTTTTTTAATTTTTGTTAGAAATTTAACATACAATTTTCATAACTTTTTGTTCGATAGGGAATCTATCATTTGTTTAAAAAAAGTCAAATAATCAAACAATTTAGGGATAATGACTTGAAAGGGTAACGAACTTTCGACTTTTGTCACTAAACTTTTTTTCGTTATCTATTGCTATTGAACTATTGAAACTGTTTACATTTTACCCTTATGACCGGCTGTTACCAGTCATAAGGGTAAAATATGAACAGTTTCAATAGTTTAGTGGCAAATAGATAATGAAAAAAAGTTTAGTTACTAAATGTGAACAAAATCGAAAGTTCGTTTCCCTCTAAAAAGTTCAATGACTAAATGTGAACAAACTTCCTATTGTATTATGTTTTAGCAAAATTATTTATTTTTGTTTAATTGTAGCAACATTTGTTGATGAAGAAATCTATGAAATAAAAAAACAAAATGTAACATCTGGATTTCCAGGTATCAACATTTAAGTATTTTTCTTTTGAGTTAAGAAGAGAGACTCGACGAGTTGACGCCTCAACTCGTCGAGTAACGTCGCGACTGATGACTCAGATTAATGAATGGACTCGATGAGTCGGTGAGGCGACTCGACGAGTCCGCGATGTTGGTAGAAACCCTAAATCTTCGGGCTCTAGCCATATTTAAAGGCACTTATGGCCTTCAATTGCGACTACCTTTCCCATAAGTGAGAACCCTAGCGAGCTTGAGTGTGTAGAATGAGAGGAAGAGCTATCTTGAGCTTTTTGGTGTGATAGATCTGGACCCTTCTAGGTTCAGATAACCGAGAATATGAAGCTTTAGTAGAGTAAACCTTGGGGTTCAAAGTTAGGAAGCATTTATGGTATATATAGTTACTTTCATCTTACACATAGATATGAAGTATTTTATATAAATTACGTGTTATGTGTGCATATTATTTGAATACTTGTTGTCTATGCTGGATGAACGATTTTATACATGTTTTAAAAGATTTAAACGGTATATTTATTTTATATCTACAAATATGTTGCGGATGAAACATGGGTAGATGAAATAGTTGGTGTGTGATGAAATAAAATGATGAGAGATAGGTGATGATAGAAAGGTGGTGATAATTAGGTAAATAGATGATGATGGATATGTGATGTAGGATGAAAGGAGATACCATAACCTTAACCAGGATTGTGGCAATGTAGTCATCTACCAGAGTATAGATGGCGACCACGGACTATTATAGACAACCCAGTGGAAACACCAGCAGGCCCATAACCTGTAGGTGATGAATTACGAGTTCAGGCGATGTTGTAACACTACAAGAAAAATCCTAAATGGCTACGGAAACTTGCTACGGAATTGAAATCCATAGCTATTCTATTACAGAATGTGCTACAAAATGGTTTTTCGTAGCTATTTTGCTACGAAAATAGCTACAAAGTTACATTCCGTAGCTAAACTAGGAATAACTACAAAAAGTTACTACATAATCAAAATTTGTAGATATTATACTACGAAATATGTTACAAAATGGCTAGCCGTAGCTATTTTTCTACGGAAATAGCTACGGAGTTGCATTTCCGTAGCTAAATCTTGAATTGTTGCTACAAAATCAAAATTTGTAGCTATTTTACTATGAAATGTACTACATGGTTGTTGGTTGTAGCTAGTTTGCTACGGAACATGTTACGTAATCAATTTTCGTAGTTGGTTGGCTACAAAATCGGTTACGGAATAAAAATATGTAGCTAGTTGGCTACATAATAGAAATTTGTAGCTACTTATTGACAAAAATTTGATACACAGTAAAAATCTATAGCTAATCTACAACGGAACTTGTAACTAAAAGGTTAACCGTTGTTATTTCTTTATCTAAGTTGTTTTTAAATTTGCAAAATAGCTACAAAATCTAAATCGTATCTATGTGGCTACGGAATATTTTGTAGTCATTTAGTTATGGAATATAATTCCGTAGTAGAATACAAAAAAATATTTTACCAAAAAAAAAATTACTATTTTTAATTGTGTTATGATTTTTAATTATGATTAATAATTTTTTTTACATGATAAGTTTTTTTTATTTATTCTTATTATCATTATTTTATTATATATTTTAAAGATATATTAACATTAACATATATAATTAAATCACAACAATCTTATGAACAGTAACTTACGTGGGTATTGTTTTCCCCACCGCTTCTCATCGACTCTCTGATTCTTTTGTCGTTCCTTTCCCTTCACAGCTTCCTCATACATCGCCTACATTTATCTGTCTCTCGATCCTTCCGTCTTCCACTACTTATCTGCCATCTGCATTCCCTAGGGTTCGTTTGTTGGCGTAGCGTTATTCGAGCGTCCCCGAATTGGAGCTAGAAACACGGTACTTTTCCATAATCTTTTCAATTTCCATCTACAAATTGACAAGGGTTTTGATCTTTGGTTGTAATTTTGGGACCTAAGTTTTTGTTACCGGTACCATCCACTTCATAGAATTCAACGTATGCTTAATTTCTTCTAAGTAAACTTTCAAATTCATATTTATTGTGAAGTGAAATTGAATCTGTTCGAAGCCCAGTCACTTAACATTCTTAGATTTACTTTTGTTCTTCTTTCTATCTTGGGGCTCAATTTCATTTACTCGATAATGTTTGATTTTGATTTTACCGATGTGTTGTTCCTGTTTCTCACTTTATCTCCATCGCCTTTCAAACCATCGAAATCGATGCATCTTGAAGATGAAAATTAATGTCATGTTGTGAACATCGACCCAGCGGCACCTCTTCATCTTCGATTCCTATCTCCCCACTGCTCCTTTCTAATCAATTGGTGGTGGAGGGAAGAACGACGAGGTAATGTTTCTTCCTCTTTCACGTTTCTTTACTTTCTGAAAACAGTTACAATATTACAACTTGCTAATGGTCGCATACGACTTTGTTTTGTTTTCTCTATGTGACGGGAAGAGAGCTGAAACCGATGATACAGTCTCTAATACTCCTGCTACACTTGAAACGTTTGCTGAAAGGTATTAGTACAGTTTCTTTTTTTGCTTATATATGTTAACCCATAAATAGAGCTCCATCTCTCTTCTGAAAGTCAATGCTCTACACCTTCTGTAACATCACATGTTCATGGAATTATATATTGTTTATGTGTTTACAGAATTGCATGCACCCTGTGGAACATCACATGTTCATGGAATTATATATTGATTATGTGTTACAGAATTGCACACTACATGTTTGATGTTATGCTTGAGTGGAACTTATCTTCATGAATTTTTTTTTGAAGATGGTTCATGTTTTATAGTTCAGCCAGCTTATCATTTTGAATTTTGGTTGGTAATAAAATTATGTTTTTCACTTGCAATGTTTATGTTTTATAGGAATTTACTTTATGTGGTTTCTAGATAGTGATTTTTCTTTGTTTCGGTAGCTTTATTGCTCAATATTTGAGGAATAAATTATGTATCTTGTTTAAACTTTTATGTTTTTTTTTTCTTCAGATACTGAGTTTGTTCATCCAAAATCTACAAAAGGGTATAACCGGATGGTTGGTGATGTTGGATATGGTCGCAACTACTATTTTTGGCCTTAATCATGGTAATCTTATACTACTAAAAGATAAAAGTTAGGTCACTCAATCCATTTAAATCATCAAAAATTGAAGGCAACTTGATTACAGGAAAGCCACAGTTCTTGAAGGAGGTAAATACTCACAAATCCTTGCAGTTTTTTAGTTGTTGACAAACATGTTATGAATGATAAGACCAGAACGCATCTTTCGTGAATTCAACAGGTATTTAACATACATCTTTCAATATTAAGTGCTTACTCTATTAAGCTCATGAAGTTAAAAATAGAAGAATCGTTGTTTTTGTTTAGGTATTCATGTGAACCTGCATCAACTGTTATCATCATATAAAATTTGAAGTTGGGACAAATATTGTTGTAATTGGTGCTCAAAGTTGCTGGTATTCTAGAGCATTTATGGTTATTTGTGTGTTTGTGATGGTTCCAGTATGAACGGTGTGACAATATTTGTAAAGAATATTTGTTTTGATGATTAGGGAACCATGTAAAAGGATTATCAATTATGTAATATATCTATAAAAATCTATGTAACTACTAAAATTAAATTTATTGCATTTTATATATTTCAATGAATATTATAAATGGAAATTGGATTTTTTTTTGAATATTTTTATCATTATGAATTTGTTTTGGAACCTATTTCTTCTATCGAACAAATGGCTACGGGATTTGCTACGGAACAAATGGCTACGTAATTTATTACGGAACAAATGGCTACGGAATTTTCTACGGAACAAATGGTTACGGAATTTGCTACAAAACAAATGGCTACGGAATTTGTTACGGAATAAATGGCTACGGAATTTGTTACAGTATAAATGGCTACGGAATTTGCTACGCACCCCATTGTTACGAAATTGTTATAGAAATATGTTGTAGTTAAATTGCTACGGAATAAACGTCGTAGCAAAACTGCTACGAAACTATAATTCCGTAGCTAAATAGTTTGCTACAAGAAATATAACTACGAAATCTCATTGACGAATTCCGTAGTAACTTTTGTAGTTATTCAGGTTTAGCTACGGAATTTTAGCTTTCAGCTACAGAATTTTTTCGTAGCTAAATCGAAATTTTCTTGTAGTGTAACTACGTATTCATGTGATGATACTCTAACCCTTTACTATGAATTACGAGTTCAGACGATGTTGTAACTACATATTCATGGGATGTCACAAATTTTGCATGCCAAACCAATGGTCATAATTCACATCAGTGAGAATGGTTCATTTTTTTGTAAAACCAAAATCAGATTGGAAATTTTGATTTTTTATTTTGGAAAATGTCAAACCATTGGTTTTTTTATTTCGGTTTCGGTTTTTTGTTTTTTTTTTAAAAATATATTTTCAGGGTTTTGTTTTTTTTGTTTTGTTTTGTTTTGTTTTGTTTTTTTTTGTTTTTTTTTTGTTTTTGTTTTTTTTTCGTTTTTTTTTTCATAGATTTCTTCATCAACAAATGTTGCTACAATTTAACAAAAATAAATAATTTGCTAAAACATAATACAAGAGGAGGTTTGTTCACATTTATTCATTGAACTTTTTAGAGGGAAACGAACTTTTGATTTTATTCATATTTAGTCACTAAACTTTTTTTTGTTATCTATTTGCCATTGAACTATTGAAACTGTTCACATTTTACCCTTATGACCGGCAACAGCCGGTCATAAGGGTAAAATGTGAACAGTTTCAATAGTTCAATGGCAAATAGATAACGAAAAAAAAGTTTAGTGACTAAACGTGACAAAAATCGAAAGTTCGTTACCCTTTCAAGTCATTATCCCAACAATTTAAGTATTCAAAAATATTACACCCAAGACTTGTTCCACCATTTCCACAAATTCCTTAAAGATGAAACTAACATAAACTCTCCAATACCAAACAAATAAACACAAAACAAAATTCTGTTGGTGATTGTAATGAAAATCTTCCATCGCCATGTCAGCACCTTCATGTTCATATTCTCTCTCTTCTTCTACTACCCTTTTCTCAGTGTAGCCGTTGACACCATCACACCCACACAACCCCTCACCTTCGATCAAACTCTAGTCTCTAATGGTGAAGTTTTCGAGTTGGGTTTCTTCAACGCAAACAACGGAAGTTTGTATATAGGAATTTGGTATAAACAAATTCAGCAGCTAACGTATGTTTGGGTAGCTAACAGAGACAACCCCATTACTTCATCGTTCGGGAACCTAACCATCGTCGACAACGGCAACATGGTGCTGGTAGATCAAGTGGGAACCGTCGTCTGGTCATCAAATCAACCCACAAAGGCGGTGAAGACGGTGGCGCAGCTTTTGGACAACGGTAACTTTGTGCTTCGACCGGAAAACGATGAGAAACCGGAGAATTATATTTGGCAAAGCTTTGATTATCCCACTGATACTCTATTACCGGAGATGAAACTGGGGTGGGACAGGAAATCTGGAATTACTCGGCGTTTGCAGTCGTGGAAGACGAGCAATGATCCGGCGACAGGTGATTATTCTTTTAAACTGGATACCAGTGGCTTCTCGGAGCTTTTAACATTGAAAAACGAAACAAGAATTTGGCGAACTGGGCCGTGGAATGGGATAAGGTTTAGCGGCGTACCGCAGATGGTGGGGGTGGATATAATGCAGTTTGAATTACAGGATAATTCCGATGAGATCAGTTATAAGTTTGAAATGGTGAATAGTTCCATTTATTCACGATTGGTTATAAATTCTTCTGGTATTAATCAAAGATTGGTTTGGGCGAAAACAACAAAAACCTGGAGGGTGTACTGGTCTTTCCCCGGTGATTGCGATCACTATGGTGAATGTGGTCCGTTCGGCGTTTGTGATACAACGACTGCACCATTCTGCAATTGTTTGACCGGATTCCAGCCAAAGAACAAACAATTGTGGGATCTCCGAGATAGGTCCGATGGGTGTGTTCGGAGCTCCGTAATGGATTGTGGGTCGGATGGATTTTTGCATTTGAAGAACATGAAGTTGCCGGAGAGTTCGAAAGCGATTGTAGATCAGACGAAGAATTTGAGCGAGTGTGGTGAGATGTGCAGAAAGAATTGTTCTTGTGGTGCTTATGCTAATATGAATATCAATGGAGGCGGGTCGGGTTGTGTGATGTGGGGAGTGGATCTTATGGATATGAGACGATATGCTGGTTCTCAAGATGGAGGACAAGATATCTACGTTAGAGCCACAGTTTCTGATTTGGGTATGTTTCTGAATTATACTTTAGTGACTTATATCGTATGTATCAAAAAGTAGTAGTTTTGCTTTAAATTTTACAACTTTAGACATTAATAATCATGAGTTTGTTGATTGCAGCTCCACCGCCGGTAGCTGAAAGTACCAAAAATGGCTCCGCCAACAGCAACCACGTTGGTAAGGTTGTCGGCATTACCATGAGTACCTTTGCGGTGCTCATATTTATTCTGATACTCGTCTACTTGAAGAGGAAGCAAACACGAACCTTGATAACATCAATGGATAGAGAAGGTAATTTTGACTTTGTTAGAGTCAAACACCATAGTATATAATTTTGAAATCAATATATGACATTAAGGTAACATAAAGGATAAGTGCAAATCACTATAATATACTAAACTGAATGTAGTCCTCTAACAATTAAAGTAATCATATTTCGTGCAAATATTCATTTTCTTTTCAGAAAAACATCAATTTTTGTTACGAGGACCATTCATAAATGATAAATCCATTTCCCAAAATAAGAAAATTCCCAAAATGAAGTTTTAATGTGTCTCTTTTGTGATATTGTTCAAAAGATGGTCAACTTATGATAAGACCCATCCCTTTTCGTTTTAGTAAGTAAGTAGTTAACCCTATAAATAATTCATAACTAGATTACCCATCAACAGTTTTTTAACGTTGAAACAAATTTGAGTTACAAAGACTTGAAAAATAGGATGCAAGTTTTCATTTTGGACAGAGAGAGTTCCAACTTTTTAAGTCAAAACAGACCGGGTGAGACTTCATATGTGTTTGATATATTTTGTTTGATCCAAAATAGGTCCACAAGGAAGAACCGAAGATTCCTTAGTAAATGATGACACTATTCTACCAAATAGAAGAAGAGATAATCATGGCAAAACAACTATGGATGAACTTGAATTACCCTTGTTCGATTTTACAACACTCGCTATTGCGACAAACAACTTCTCAAAAACAAATGAACTTGGGAGAGGGGGGTTCGGACCTGTTTACAAGGTAAAGTACTAGGACATATGTGAACATCTAAAATTAAGGGTGTTGAACCTATCCGATTCCAAAATTTGATCTGGATATTCGATAATCTAAAAATTGGAGTAAATATTATCACTAGTTTTTTATATCCATATTATGGAAAAACCCGAAATGTACGTATTTTTATTTGTTATTTGAAATTACTTTATTTTTGTTATTATTTCATGTTTTTTAATTATTCGAATGTTCAAATAAAACAATAGATAAAAGATAAATAGTAGCCACTGAGCAATGCATGACAAATGAGCCTCCGCCTCAATTTGATGTGTTTGGATTTCAAACACCATAAATATCCTTAAGAATGATGCATTTCATAGGCTCCCATGGATAAAACAATAAAAGACACATTTCTAATCAGGGTGTGCGATCTGTCGTTAAACTATGGCTATCTGTCGTTAATCTATTGGCATCCGTTCGCTAATCCGTCATTATCTGTTGTAAATCCAATGTTAATTTGCCAATATCCGTTACCAGTTGTTAATCGGAAATTTCAAGGGCCTATTTTTCTTTTTGCACTAGGCCTTTAAAATCAAGAGACCAAAAATGTTTTAATTTGTTACTTTTTTATATGCTTAAGAAGTTAAAATGAATATTTTGGTATGATTCACTTATAGAGTAGATATAACTAATATCGGTTGAGGATAAGAAAAAAACAAGAGATTGTATATTCATATGTTAATCTTTTGGTATCCAATGTATTTAAATTTCTTATATACCAAATTTATATTGAATTTATACCTAACATTTGAATTGCATCAAGAAAAAAGTGACATTATTGTTGTTGGTGAGATAGGGTATATTAACAGAAGGTGAAGTTGTAGCGGTAAAAAGACTTGCAAAAATTTGCGAGCAAGGGATTAACGAACTTAAAAATGAGGTTCAATTAATCGCGAAACTCCAACATCGA